AGTCTATTTATGACTCAGTCGTTCCACTGACTTATAAAGATGAACAATAATAAGCAGTCCGTCCGCGTTTTCTCATAGACCCTTAGATAGCGATTTTGATGTTGATTCATTTATATACACTTATTTTTAAAGTAGTGTGTGAGGTAGAAATGAAACATTTAGTATTTGCTGCTCATGACGAGATTCATACGACATTGAAATTCACCACAGGGAGGAAGTTTCGATTGCCGGTGTCTCTGTAAAAAACTAATTAAGATTAAGTTACTAGCCATTAATCTGTCATGACTTGTGTACTTTACGTCAGCGATAGAAGACGAGCTGAGACGAAAGACAGATGCTATTTGTATCACTAGTAATAGTTGAAACTACAGCTGATTGCGCTCTGTATATTATCGGTCAATATTATTCTTGGTCGTTGTGTAGCTCTTTGAAATCTACCGATTCTTCATAATTAAGATTTTCACACATATTCCATATAATAGGCGAGATAAAAACAGGAAACGCAAGGTTCTATGCACAGTTTTAGTTCGGATAGACTGCAAAACAGTCCGTATTTTTGCCTATTCAAGTACGCGCGAGCAGTCAAACAAAAGGTCTCGAACAAGGCTGAAAACAGAGAGCGAGACTGGGGAGAGACGCTAAAAACACGCGTGAGGCTCGCGCTTCGCGCGCGTAAGACTCTTACGCCACGCTTTACCGAATTCTTTACTGATTTTGAGAAAAAAACGACTGTTTTGCAGTCTATAGTTCGGAGTGCAAGTAGTTTAGTATCGGCTATAGAATCAAGTTGAACCTCAACTGTTCCCACATTAAGATTTCCGCCGTTCAAGCAGTTAGAACCAAACTTATGCTGTAGACAATCGCTTGAAGAGACGAGAATCATCAGCAAACGCAACTGACATATGAGCTTCTGGGACCGAAAACTCGAACTTACCCTATGGCTATGTGGAAGACGAGCTTAGCGCAGTAGCCTAATCACCAATTAACCGACTGCAGCTTCAGCCACGAACACTGAGATACACTTTAGAAAATACAAGTAATTGATTATGTGACTGAAAAGGAAGCAGCGTACTTACCACGGAAACTGCGAGGTACTGTTCTCTTCAAGTTGACGCAACCAGAAGTCAAATGAAAGTTATGCTGTTTGTTTGTTAGCTCTAATCAATGGCCAATTTTCTGTACGAGTCATAAAACCGTGAAATCTCGACATTTTGACACTTTTCCAATCGTGAAGTAATGAACCGTTCACCCGCTAGATCATTCTTTCTGTTGACATTTGCATGAAAAAACGATCTTTGATCCTAGCGCAAATATAAAATAGATTAGAGATAACAAGGCAGTCTTTGCCAAATCATTGATATCGTATCAGAGGATTATAGTTTCTCTTTGATATTAGTCAAAGGTAAATCAACTGCGGTAAAGATACAGTCCAGTTCAGAACACAGGGTTAAATTTTCAAAGCTACTCCCGGCGTTGTTTAGCTTTGGTCACAGTGAAGGCCCTTACATAATGGAGACCGCAAGAAAAGGATGGGCGGTTTTGAATATTTTTAGAGTCGGGGGTATTCATTTTTAGTGCCTATTAAAAGGCATCTGTGCAAGATTGAGCTGTTTTGAAAAAATAGCTCGTATGTCAGTAGTTTGAGCGTATGTATCTTTGTGGCTTTGTGTGTTCAGATTTCTGTTGCAGGAGCCAATAAGGTTGAAGGTAGTATGAGTTGATGCGTTAGGAAGCAAAGAGATTTTAGCATCTAACATTACATTCACTCGGCTTGAGGTCAAACAAGGGCAGTTTGAGACCGACATGTTGATTGTTCACAATTTTTTCGTCTTTTATTACGGCTAAAGGTTTTTAGAAGCATGATATTGAAATATCTTTATGATTCAAACGCTGAGTACCGTGATGGTGTTGTTTAAGGGTTCATATTTTAGTGTGGGTGCTGCTTCGAGAGATTTCTGACCTAATTTGGCTAAAGCGAACGGTACAACGCTCGTATTTCATAATATATGAGCACTGTTTCACCTGCTTCAGGGTAGAGTGTAAAAGATCATATATTTTTTAAAGTTCCTCCAATGAACCAACAATTGAAATTTAGATATGAACTTTAATTCTGGAGTATGCGGCCTAAAAATTGTGGTTTTAGAAGTTTGAAAGGCAAGGCGAGTATTGTTAATCCTGTAAACAAGCTTCTTTCTCTCGGTTACAGAGTTCGACAGACCTTTTTCGTACCAGGAAAAAAAACATGAATTAGGTGAACAACGTGAAACAAGCTTGCTGCTTAAGAGTCATTATAGTTATTAAAACGTATTCTATTTAGTAAAGATGCGTAACTTAAGTAGAAACTACAGAAGGCACGGGGGCCAGATAGTGATTTCGTTTTTGTTTTAAACGTTTTGATTTTTACTTCGCCATTTTGCTTTTCGATTGAGATTTCGGTTTTCATTTTTTCCTTTTCCGTTTTTGTTTTTAACGTTTTGATTTTCACTTCGTCATTTTGCTTTTTGGTTTTGGTTTTGATTTTGATTTTTTACTTGTCCGTTTTTGTTTTAAACTTTTTGATTTTCACTTAGCAATTTTAATCTATATTATGAAAACCAAAACCAAAACCTTATTATAACATTTGAGCACCTAAACCAAAAAGTTAGCCCAGGGTCTGGAAGGGTGTTTTCGGGATTCGGGATTTGACCAAAATACGGTGCGGGAATCGGGAAAACGATAAATATATTGACGGGATCCGGGATTTGACTGTTCCCCGGGAAGCGGGACTCGCCAAAAATTGGGCACGGGGTGCGGGATTTATGTTTGTGTGTCTGTCGGGAATGCCGGAAACGGT